GTCGAGTTCGCTCCGTCCTTCTTCAAGCTCGGCGACCCAACCAAACTGTCCAAGCACAAGAAAAACCAGCGCCTGGAGCCGCTCTACAACAAATACGAGGAACCGAACTCTTGGAGAATATCGCGTGTCCGTCGTCGTAGAAATTAATTGTAACCTCGCAAGCCGTGGAACATATGTGATGGATCCGAAAAATTGCGAGAACGTGCGTGGATCGAAGATGTTCACGAAGGTTCATTAGAATTTGCTATGTATGTATCAAATTCAGCATTCGTTTTTCGTCCTTGCTGTTGTATAAATGCAAGAATTATCTATCTTTCGTCGATCTTAATATCATTTGTATATATTGTAAATAAATCTTGACTCAGTGAAATAATTTTGTTTGTATCTAGTATACCTACTCATTTCGAAGTCGCTGTAAAGTAAAAATTCTTCTAAAGTTATTCATGAACCATCAATATTATCCCCGCTATTTTCCGTATCTTCTGTAAACTTTGCTGCTTCCGGTGACCAGCTATTCAGTGTTCTGCGCTGGTATAAATTTATCGGTCCATTTATGGGCTGGCTTACATTTATAATAATAATAATAATAGCGGTATCAGCGTTTATTAGGCCGTAGACCTGTCGCCGATTCTTAACATCGCAGAACATTCACAGCATTTTGCGGTCTCGAACTCGCAACTCACTGCTACAATTCTGCTGCGCTTAACCGCCCGGCCTCCTCGCCGATTCTGACCAGAAACTGGCGCACTGAGCTGGGATCGAACCCGCGCCTCTCTGCTCCAATCCTCTCTGCAATCCCTGCTACTACATTTAGGTAGGTAGCGCAAAGATGTGTAGTGCACACTGCCTCTACAGCAGTGATAACGCACTCATCAGATGAGATTATTACTCCTGACTAGCTATTCCAATGTCTAATACGGATGGCTTTCAAGCTAATGAATGTACTCTATATAACCATCGGTTAAATAATATTTTTGCTGTTGAAGATGATTGATGGGAATGAACGGAAGGAATAACTGATGGTCACGCTGACAACGGAGGGAAGATTCGGATGATTTGACTTCAGGTTCTCAACAGGAAAAGAGATAAGAGTTCCAAAGATGTGTGTATTTCTGTATGTGAAAAATCACCCCTCTAGAAAACAACTGAAGGCTATGTTGTTGCTGTTACTTACACCGACGGTCAAGCTCTTACTCTGGGAGGCTTGCGCATGTTGCTTGCCAAGAAGCAGTGGTAAACACGCAGGTATCAAACGTGTTCAAAACGAGATTAGAACACGCGGCCCGTCTGTATTAGCTGTCAAGGACGAGATTGAAAATTTTGTTGGAAACTTTACATAAATTTCAAATTGGCGTTAATATGTAACCAATGTAAAATTTGCCGCGCAGGCCGGTTTACCGTTGAGTTTGAAATTCGTAATGACGTTATTCCACCGTCTCCCGGGCTGACGTCTACTTATGCCCTAAAGATGCGGTTATCATATCCTTTACCAAACATAACATTACTTGCAGCATGCGACGTCATCAGCTAAGAAAATTGTTACTACACACGACATTGGAATCCCAAATAAATATCAACCTAATCTAGAATTCGGCTGTGTAACCTTGATGGTCAAAATTTAGTTTCATCTATTCATGGAAATAATATCCCTCAATAGTAAGTAAAAAAAAGCTAGATTAAACTTGACATGTAGAACGTTCAAGTTATAATGATAAGTCTTATTATTATTATTTTCTTATAAGGTCAAATGAGATTTTGGAGTCATTCATGCCCATTGGAGGAATATTTCATTTTAATCTGCTTGAAAAATTTCGTTATCCTATAAAAATAAAGTGAAAGCTAAATTTTAAAATCAATTCATGCAGGTTTATTGGTGCATGCTATGCTTTAAAACAGCGTGCACCGTAATTACTTTCATACTGTAAAATCATTTAAAATAATAACAATCATGAGCTCATTTGTTAACTGCTCACTAGTGTCTGATTATAACATAACTCTATAATCAATTCTTCGCCTGCAGAAGAACAATTGTAAGATTTATTGGCATTATTAAATTAACTACGGAATCTCTAGCCATCAGAAATCCTTGGATCACAACAGAGTGAAGTATTTTGATGCGTGCTCTTGTTAGACACTCGATTATGGCAGTGTTTCTCACGGTGTGGCTGACATTTTGTTCGTTCTGACGAGGTTCCTAACAAAACATATCCGCGGATTTCTCTAATTGTTGATTTCTGAAGCCCTTGCTAGAAACAATATAAAAGTTATATAATTTTTTGCACTGTTCTCACGCAGAAAGTTGCTTTAAAAAATAAGAGCATTCAACACACGTGATCTAATCATGTCACATGGGTTGGGAGCTGTTGATCTTTAATGCGATGCAGTTTCGCTTTCTTTGTAATACAGAATCTCTGGACCTTTTGTATCATTCGCTATGTTAAAGAAAAGCATGTTTAGAACTCAAAGCAAAAGCCATTCACACAAGCATCACAAACTCCGATGAAAAAAAAAGCCGGTAAAAATCACATTAATTTCCTTGAAATGCCGCTAAATTTTCTCACGAAATAAGATGGTGGTGTTTTGACATTTTCTAATAAAGAAAACAAGTTAGAGTTCTGAATCGCTTACATTATCTCCGTGGAACTACCTAGCAAGCAGTTTGATCTCACTGATTCACACGGAGAATGTAAACTGAAAAGTTAGGGAGACTTGGATATCATGAGGTATTAGGGCATATCAGAATATCTGTAAGCTGCCTTATTATAAATGTCTTGGTTTTTACTTGTTCCGAATTATTCTCACAAATCTTACGATGAGTCTTGGCCAATTTTTTAGGTACACTCAAAGATATTTAGAAAACATTTGATCGGTTGGAATTAATTTATTAAAGAAGAAGTATTTTCTCGTTATATGTGATCAACATCGATGCTTTTTAACGAAACACGAACATGAACATCGGAGCTATTTCAAACTATCGTCAGTCATGAAAAGATCCGGTCAAATGACACGATTTAGATCTTCTGTGAACAAGGCACGAAAAGGAAAAGAATCGGCGACAGGCCACATCAGGCCTACACTTCAGCGCCGACATCACTATGTTATGTTATGTTATGTCCGCTGCAGCAGCGTGACTCAGTCGCAGCTCTAACATGGCGTTGTCTGGACATGTTCTACGTGTCGCCGCGGACACGTGGCTGCCTTACGTTTCCTTTCCAGTCGAAGCCGAGGCTGATCCTTCCTTGCTGTCAGGGGCGGCGTTCGAGATCTTCAGGATCATCACGACTAAACTAAATGTTTCGTCAGTATTGTCAAATTATTTAGATTTTATGATTCCTACCTCACGTAATTTTCTTGATTCAGCTTCAGGGACTCATCAATTGTCTCGTTTCTGACGATATCATCCAAATGATTATGATTCGGTTCCATTAATTGTTAATCTGACTTCTTATCTTGATGAAATTGTCACTAGGAGCCGTAAATTCACTCATTAAATTAAACTAAGACCTTACTTTTGAATTTTTTGCAACGTTTTTTAGAACAGGTGACTTAGCCACGACTACTGAGTATTAAAATCCGACAATTATAATTAGAAATTTCAACGCTCTCACATTCTATTCGAGCGATTGCAATTTGCGCTCCAGGTTCAAGTTGGTGCGATCGGTGGACGGCTACTGGGGGTCTCCCGTAGGCAATGGGTCCTTCAACGGTATGGTGGGCCAGGTTCTCAGAGGCGTGAGTGAATTTATTTTATAATTGAGTTAATAATTAAGCGGTACTTTAATCATGGAGTAAATGGTATCCTTAAGGATAAAATGAACTCAGATAGTTGTAAGGATAGTAGGCTTTGACCGCAACTGGCTGCGCAAGGACTAAGGTCCGCTTCTCTGAGGCGTGAGTGAATTTATTTTATAATTGAGTAAATAATTAAGCGGTATTTTAATCATGGAGTAAATCGTATTCTTAAGGATAAAATGAACTCGAATAGTTATAAAGATGACCGCAACTGGCTGCGCAAGGACTAATGTGAATGTATATAGATCAATGATGAGATATCGTCGGCCTGGGTGTCGCACACAATTTCCGGGAGCTGCCACGAATGGAATAACTAATAAGTTTGTTATGTTCGTCATTGTACCTCACAGCGGGGGCTACAGCGCACAATTTAGCTTCTCTTTGTTGTTATAAACCTCTCATAATATTCTAAAAGCCCGGTTATTTGATTACGTCTGTTGCATTGCGAATAAAAGTATTGACCAAAAAGAGGGACGAACCTGTCGCATTATCATAGCTACCGATAGTATAGATAACTATATAAAATATGTCTGTCGTGCATACAAATTGTTTGCAAGAATTTATTATTGATAACATTTCTCCTATACGTTATGCACGTTGTCAATTCAGTACAGGCATATTGAGCCTGCATCTTCTAGAAACTGCCAGCTTTTTATACTAATAAAATAAGCACTATAGGCAATTAAAGTAAAACGCTTAAGTATTGCACCTGGCATTAGCTCGTTGAACGTATACAAGAGTTTATATCGTCGCTATATGGGAGTCGAGAGTTGTAAATGAAGGTACATATTTACTTTTTATTAATAAATGTATATGTGCGAATTTTATTTCGCATTTACTCATTCGTCGTCGACATTTGAAATCTCCCAATGCATTTCAGATTAACGAAATAAAATTCCTGCACATTTTTAACTAAAGTTAGTATCAGAAGGCAGAATAAGCTTGTTTAAACACGGTTGGTAAATGGCAAGAGAATTCGTCAATTTAAATTTTCAGGGTCAAACAATATTCTTCAGATGACATTAGTTGATAAAAATGCAGGTTCAAGGGAGTAATTTCAGTTTTAACGACGTTTGGAATGTAGCAACATTCATTTTCAAGTTACAGGAAGCATTGAATACAGAAATTTTGATGGAAATAAGTACATGATACGCGTAAATAGGATACAACAAGAAATTTTGGAACCGCGAAAATAATTCCGAAACAACCTCAAAGCTTAGAAAATCAGGTAGTTATTAGATGGATAGATGGAGTCCAATCCGTAGATAAGGGCTCCAGCTATCGTCGGTCGGATTATGTCGGGCCACCGCAAGATGACGATGCTGGTGGGTTCCTCCAGCACAGTGCAAGTGACAGTCTCGTTGAGATTGACGTTGTCGAGAGTGTCAAGGGCCTATTGATTTCATCGCGGATCTTAAGATGAAGTTGCTCGATTGTGATGCTTTGAGACCGAGCTGGTCTGGTTGCGAGCTTGTCTCAGGTGGCAGAATAAACGGCTGCTCAAAGTCGTAGTAATTACTCCACTTACTCCAATGCAGCCAAAATAATGGAGAAGTCTACAACCTTCTTGGAAGCAAAATTTATTGATTAGACCAGATTCTTGAAGAACTCCCGCTGGTTTGAAGTGACCGTTGCTGCGTATAGTTCGGGGTTTGACGTTGTTGTCAAGGTTGTCATGGAGTCAGTTGAATTCATTGCGGATTTTTTATTAATATTCTTAACTTTAACTTTTATTTTCAACTTAGGGCATTATTTTTGATGAATTCTTTTGACAAAACATAACGCATATAAAAAATAATCTTTCACGACGCTAACACCTGGTTTTGCACTTAACATAATGAACCCAGTAATATGAACTCGCTGTCCAGAACTGCAGAGAGACTCGTTTGAAAAAAGTTCTCCATGAACTCAGGAAGTTGACATGGCGCTGGGTCCTTTCATCCAGACCCACGAGCGTCAGCAGGTGGCCGACTTCTCTGAGGTTCTCATCACTGACAGCTTCGGCATCTTCCTGCCCAGGCCTGGCATAGAGAAGAATCTCGCCAACTTCTTGAAGCCGCTCTCAGTGGAAGTGAGCCATGAATGAGACGAGCGAATACTTGCCAAATAATATAATAGTAAGTGAGACTCGTCCAAGTTGAGGGACACAAGTCATTGTAGGCAAGACTCACGATGCATGTTAGAGGCCAGCATGGCCCAAAACCGTCATCACTTTTCCTTCCCGTGCGCAAGCATACTACTGACTAGAGTAGCCTATGAACTCGGATGTTGCTAGAACCATAGGTGTCGTAAGCCGGCAGTCACTGCTCCAGCCAGTTAAGCGAGTTCTTAGCTCTGAGGCTGAGTTTAGCAGAGCATTTTTATACAGAGCGTTTGCTCCAGGGCTTGTTGAAGAGTTAAATTTGTGGCCGAAGGCTACATACCCCGAGACTATACATGCGGTCATGGTTTAATTTGTATCGTGCGCACTACTTACGCGTGTACCACAGTCTCTTACAAATCAGACTTATCCTATGCATACGTATCTAATTTATTACGTAGTCAACATATGAATATTAGAATGAGTGTTAGAATAAGCTTTTCTTAACTGTCTTTACAAAACACCATGTGAAATTAGATTTCACATGCAAAGATTGTATGCGGTGTAATATGATGCAAACAATTTTGGGGCACGACTGTTGCAAGCTTCTCGCAAATTAGCTGAACAAATGCTCTATGTTGGATCTTGTCACACTTTTGAATTTCGATAGAATTCCTATTTTTTACTTGAAGGCTGTCCCTATTGAACTTACACGTATTTATCATTTTAGACATACTTATTTGAATCTCACGTGATTTTTTTGCATAATTTTTTCCAGACTTGGATTTTGTTCTTCATATCTGCGGTGGCCAGTTTTTTATTTGGCACTTTTCTTCGAAACTCTGAGAAAAAGTTTAACGGGCAGGAAGACAGCTCTGTTGTCCTGACAGTTGGGAACGCAAAACCTCAGTACCCTGGAGTTGACCGGATTTTGCGAGTCATATGTAATCAAGGTATTAGTGATACATAATTCATTTTATCAAACATAAAAATTAATGTAGAATTGTTTAATTGATTACTGTATTAAATTGTTAGCATAGGCATTTTTCTACGCTCTAGAACCTGATTGGTTTGATCACATTCGAAACAACTATTGTTCAAGCGAAAGAGTGCGAAAGAGTAGTAAGGTCTGGCAAGCGACCAAAGTATAATATGATCCAGTTAGGAAGTGAGACCCAATTTGATCAGCTGACTTCGGCCGTTCGTCTTTGCTTTGCCTTACAGACAACCTCTCAAGGATAAAATTTGTTTTAAGAAGTCAGCTCTAGAGCTTATGTGGAGCTTTGTATGTCTCTTAAGCCTTAATCACGGCTTTTTTGTTAGACGCTCTGGGGAAGTTAGGCTGCTTCTTATCTTGAAAGTTAGGCGAAGTATTGCGGTGAAATAAACCTTTTCTGAACACCGACGCATGATAAAACCACATAAGAGCTGTTTCAAATCATAAACCACATGTGTTGCGTCTCTTGAATTGGAGACATGCATGAGTAATTTACGAATAATCATTTGTACCCTGGCTTGGTTGCGTTTAGGCAAGCGAGATTTCTTGTCGCTTGTGGCCGACAAGTGGTGAAATTTATTGTATAACAACAGCTCTATTGTATCAATTGTAATAGAAATTGATTTTCAAATTAAGTTGTTTGTGCGCTCGAAGTAAATGAAATACTTTCATTGTATCGACTAATATTTTTTCTCTTCAGGAACGACCTGGAAGTGTGAAAATTTGAGCGGACGCTTGCTGCTGGGTGTGTGGCTGTTCGCCAGGTCAGTGAAGGCCCTGTTTTCAAAGACAAGATTCTCTCTCTCGCTTAACAACCGAAAAACAACCTTTGAATTATCACATGTCATTTGCTTCCTTATATTGCAAATAATTAATTATTAATAACTACTTTCAATCACTTAACTGTATTGACTGCAAAACTAAATACCGTCCTATCAGCCTGGTGCTGAGCACCGTCTACTGCGGCTCCCTAACCTCACAGCTCGCCGTACCCGTAGTCCGCGTGCCCGTCGACTCCCTGGAAGATCTCGTCAAAAGCAACATGCAATTTGCCACGGAAGCCAACAGCGCCATAGACCAGATGCTCACTGTGAAAAATAGTTTCGATTGTGAATTGATATAAATTATGCTCATTTTTTGTGATGATAACTAAATTTCTTAATACTTTATGGCTTTTATATATATGATAACAACATTTCTTAATACTTTATGGCTTTTATGTAATATTCACTCGGGTTGTTCAATAATTACACTGTTGAATTATGTTTATCAGGAAAAGAAGTTCAATTTTTTTTGTTGTAGTTAGCAATTAGCAAAAATTATAGTTGACAATTTTTAGATTGTTAAAATTCAGATTTTTAGATTGTAAAAATAAATTTTTAGATTGTTAAAATAAATTTTTAGAATGTTAAAATATAGAAATTCACTCAATTCCAATATGAACGAATTTCAGGCAGCAACTTCAGGAGTGATGAAAGAAATAGCTGACCGCATGAGCAGGGTTAGTTCTTGTTACTACTCTCGCTTCGACATCAAGAGTGGCAAACTGGCCGTGCTGTGTGACTTCATCAGCATGAAGAAGGTGATGTAAGAAAGAATATTGTAAGAGGACATTTTGAGTTCGCTAGCACGAGGAAGGTAATGTGATGTTCAACAAACTCTAATGCTGCTTGTGACTTAAGCTCTTAGGGAGGTAATGTGCTACGGCACAACCTGTCCTGGTTCTGCAGCTTTTTCAGCATATAAAGGTGATATGTGAGAAAAGATAGAGGTTACATTTCGAGTATACAAGTTTGGGTAAGGAGATACTGTGGAAAAAGTTGTCTGCACCCTGTGACTACAACAGATTAGTCATTCAAGATAAGATCCCATAGATAAATGAAAAAAAACATGTACCGGACAAAGATCGTAAATACATCTACCATCCGCGGTAATCTTTCAACTTCGATGCTGAGTCTGCTGATTGACGGCATGAAATATAAAATTCACGGTCTCACTAAACTTCAATTTATTGAAAAAATTAACGTGAGAGGATATCCAGGATTTTGAAGCAGATGCAATGAATTTATCGTGACTTTACAATTGCGTATTGAGTGCAGGTGACGAGTGAAGAGTTCAGCACGAACGCGACGTGCAGCTACTACATCGCCCGAGAGAGGATGTCTGGAGGCTCGCTTTCGTTTCTCTTCCCAAAGAAGAGTTTCTACAAGCCCTTGTTCGACCACCAGTAAGATTTTGTTGAGCACAATTTACATAGAAAATAGCTAAATATTCCTAGAATTTTATTCATGCTGGATGAGCATGTCGATGAGCATGTGTTTTCCTAAGTTGAACGGGAGTTTGAAGCGACAGTGAACACTGGAGAGGCATTACTTTGCGTAAACTTCGGCGTCGCGGTGAATACATGAATTACGTTACCTTGTTAGTCCGTTATCGCATTACTGATACGCTACTCCGATAAAGTTAAAACGTAAAACATATAACACGCAAATGAGTATTGAGTTTAAAGATATAAAATAGCAAAGAAAACAGAGGAACATATTTTCAACTGATGTTAAAAAAAGTTTAGCGCGAACTTAAAGGCTGTAACCTTAGATTGGTTAACGTTTGTTACAGAAGGCGAGAGAAGAAATGGCTTCCACTGTCGTTCCTAAAATTTGTTGCGGAAATTAAAAGATTTTAATTATGAGAGGATTGAAATTTATCCTACAAGTTATTATGACTATTTATTCATATGAGCTAGCTCTGAGCCAATATACCAGATGTAATTGCCAAGCTGATGCCTCTGAAAATTTATGTGTTCATGCGAAACTCAATTGGTTAAATTTACTTGGCGTTTCAAGCGTGAATACAATACGTGCATCTCAGTCCGTCTGATCTCAGAGATCTTCTGAGCGCCGAATTTGAACAATTGGCAATTTCTTTGAAGTTTGAAACTTGAATGAAAAAGAGATGCCATATTCTACTCTGAGTTTTCTTTATTGGAGAGGCACCGAATGCACGTACGGAGGAACACATAAAAAATCTATAACTATATGTATCATAGCTATGCAATTTTATTTATGGATAGTCCAAACATGAATGGCGAGAAACAGTGTTGTGTGCGGTCTGTGGAAGTTTTGACTGCAGCTTTGTCAGTTCAAGTCTCTTCAAACGAGGCTTTGCTAGTGACGCATTTCATTGCTATGATAGAATATATTTTTCCTGCCGTTCCTCTGATACGAGCGATTAAATTAAACCAACATTTGTGTACATTAGGTCACTTAGAAGCACAGATATGTTTGCTGGTATAAGTTTTAATTTCAATAATATAATTACTGAGAGTTCAAAAATTGTCAATGCTGGCACACTTGACAATAATCACCTTGGATAAGATTTATTCGTATATGTATGTTCCTCGAATGTCAAGAAACACAAATGAAAAGTTACCCTCGAATCTAGAAGGCTTGCCCGTCAAGTATAATGCTTTCATGCAGCCGCGTCATTTTGATTTTAATGGAACATTTGGATTCTCATGAATATGGTCGGGCAAGACTTGTTGCCATGCCGATAGCGTGGAGCGTGAGAGTATAAACTTAAACACTTAATTCTTTCACTCATCTTAGGTGGTAATGTTCACTCAAGTTATTTTTAGGAGATAATGTGGGATATCCGCCCTGGGTTCTGAGCTGAACCAAGATATCGGGCTGGGGCACTAATGAACTGGTGGAGAAACTAACATATGTAGAGATTAACCTAAGTATATCTGTAATATAGATATACTGAAACAAATTAAAAGCAGAATAATACCACAGCAATGAATTCTGGTTCAAATAATGACATTTATAGTTTGTTATCTATAATATTTTTAATTTAATTATTGATCGCTGTGTCTCTCTTGGTTTAAGTGCGTGACCAACTGATTTGCCAGGTGAGCATTAATTGCTGTGCATTTGAATTACTTTCACGTTTTCTTAGCATTACCCAAAGAAAAGTATATTAGTTTGTTTTGTTATAATGAGCATTTCATGTCCTTAGAGTACATTTTATTATACGTTTATTGCCTACAACTGGGCCGTCGGTTAACATTATAGTTTTGTCTGGGAATAAGTTGTACGTTTTACGTTACACAAATAAAATGATCTTTAATAATTATCACAATGATTTATAGTAATTCTTTATTTAAACTCTTCATCATTTAGAATAAAAAAAAGTATCCTACTGTCGAAGATTGCGAAAAAAATTTCTTAACAAAACGCAATTACATGGCTTGAAGAAAATAAACGAAATAAAAAAAGTGATGAAAAAACTATTGATATTCGCACGCAGCAGAGCTAACTGGCTGAGATGGCTAACTGATGAATTTCCTGTAGCACATGTCACGCTCTGAGTGTTGTATGTCGAATTTTTGGTGGAACAATTCACGCTCTGAGTGTTGCATGTTGAATTTTCGGTCCGATATCCGATAGTCACGCTCTGAGTGTTGTATACAAAATTTTTGGTAGCACAAGTCATGTTAAAAGGCAGGGTGGCCCAGTGGTTAAAGTTCAGAGTAGCAAGATTGGCGCAGAGAGGCGCGGGTTCGATCCCAGCTCTGTGCGCCAGTTTCTGGTCAGAATCGGCGAGGAGGCCGGGCGGTTAAGCACAGCAGAATTGTAGCAGTGAGTTGCGAGTTCGAGACCGCAAAATGCNTTCTGAGGATGCGTGTTATATGTTGAAGCCAAGTGATGAATGTCCAGCGTCACAAGTCACGTTAAGTGGATGCGTGTTATATGTTGAAGACAACTGACTTATTTCCAAAGTCACAAGGCATGTTTTGAGGTTGCGTGTTATATGTTGAAGACAACTGACTATTTCCAGAGTCACAAGACATGTTTTGAGGTTGCGTGTTATATGTTGAAGACAACTGACCAAGGACTACTACACACAGGACATGCATAGCCTATGTCCAGCCTCTGCTAGCAGAGGCGATCGCCTACACTATGAAAATGCTGGTGTTTTAGTGGCATCAACAAATGATATGCCCATAATTGTTTCATACAATAGTATTACAATGTGTGTAGTAGTCCTTGGTCAGAACCATAGACTTTTTGCCAGTTTTGAAGTTCAAAATTTTGTACTAAGCAAAGTAGGTACCATTTTCCTGCCTTCATACACTGATAAAAAAAATATTTAAATGGAGTG